TCTCTCTCTCTCTCTCTCTCTCTCTCTCTCTGGTCAGTGCAAATGCATAAACATTCTATGATACATACTTTCCTCTTACCATCGTCATCAAGTGCCAAAACGACACAAATTTCATGCAAATTAAGGCTGTACCAGACAACAATATGTGTGACCAATGAACCTCTATGTGAAAATACTACATACCTCATACTTCTCTTTTCTTTTTGGCTTGTAGAGATGCTTCCTCTTCTATGGAGAATGTCATACTCGGAGGGAGATGAACAAGAGAAGGTTGTCCAAGAATTGCCCTAGTACCTTTCAATTTTGGAAGAAGGCCTAGAGGGGAAGTTCTTCAAAGGCAACGTGATTGTACTTTCCGATATTCTTCAGCATTGGGTTTCATGTTGGCCTCAAGTTCTCACGGAGGTTGGGAGTGTAAAAGTTCATCGAGCCTGGGGATTTTCGTAGGCTTCGAGTATGTACCTGTGATTTGTTGGATGTTCCATTAATTGGAGAGAACCTACCACCTTTTGATCCGATGCTCACTAGCTTTCATTCGCAATGACAGGCTGGGCTCGCTGCCAAGAACAAGTCTTGAGAGAGAGTCTTTTCTTTTGGATGACTGTTGAGCAGTAAATAAGCGAATTTGAACCGTAAGATCGGGTGATTGGGTATACGATAGCATGTTATACGTGTTTTCCTTAACAAGTAGGCGCTCTCTTTCTAATAGGTCATCGCATGCCTTTATATTACTTGAGAAATACATGTACTTGCTTAAGAGAATTGATGGAGGAAGGCCACAATCCACATCATGCAAAACAAACAAACAAAAAAAGACATCAAGGATTTTGCTTTCTACCAATAGAAATGGCATACCTCCTCATCAAGTGAAAAGCATAACACTGAAATACGACCAGTGACAGCCTTACTATAACAAACTTGGAAGTCCTGGTGGCCCACTAGCATCGACAACCTTCATCATTGCCATGTTCCAAATACAAAGACTTCGCTCCATATACTCCAAAAATTTACTTTTCCATGACTTATCAAACCAAAATGCATTTACAACAATAACAACAATTTGATGCAAGACACATAGAATAGTGCATGTTATAAAGCACAAGGGAAGAAAAGAAAGCAATTTTTTCAAGGGAAAGTATAAAATAAGACCATTTACATTTGATATAGGGAGGTCACAATTACCCTCGGACATTGGACATCAAATCAGGTGGTTGAATGAGTGCCATTGACTTTGTGACGCACCCCATGGCGTTAGAGTTTACAATCGATTGTTAAGGATGATTATGAAGTTGTTATACCAAAGGTGAATGGTCTCATAGTATACAATCCCCTTTCCAATTAGTAGCTACCACGTGAGTGAAATAGATGTATGCCACTGGAAAGATTTGCCAATTTTATCTTTGCAAGTCATACTTGAATAGTGAAGCTGTGTATATCACCAAGGACATATCCAACTGCTAATTGTGTATGCGTCATTTAAGGCAAACATTGGAATTACACGGAGGCAAACATTGGAATTACATGGACCACTTCTCTAAGGGCAGGCATTGAACTCAGAAGGCAAGCTTTGCCCAGGATAGAATTCCCATGGGCCACATGGTCTGTAAAATGAAGTTAACTTGTCAAATGCCAGAAGTCATTAATACAAACAGAAAAAGATAACTTCAAGCCTTCCTTATACCTTAAATGAGAACACAGTGAGCAACACAAAGATTTAAAGCAAAGATCCACCTAACTTTATAGGGAAGATAGAATAAACTTGGTTAAAACTCTTCAGATATTCCTCAAAATTAATTGATGAATCCAAGTCCACATTCTCCAATTAAAATATGCATTAAATCTCATTATCCAATTGACTTTTCAGCATTAACTATTTTGCATCTTCCAAGGCTCATGGTATTATGGTTTGCTTTATCCAATAAGAAAGAACTAGCTCAAAACTCATAAACTAAAATGCGAATATGCTTGCCAAAGACAGTCTGGAACCAGAATAAGCCTACTCCATTCAATCTATACTGACACTTCCACGGAACTCTATTTCTACGAATAAAGAATCCAGTTGCTTCCTCCTGCACAATCCAGTGACCTGCTAATCACCACTAAGTTTGTGAGCTGCAGAAAGGCGTGCAAGTTTTGAATGCGCACCTAGCATGCAGTTCGAGAAATTTCATTATATTATTCATGTTGGATTGAATCAGAGTGGGTATAACGCCTCTTTAAACACACTAAGGTGTTGTTTTACAACCAGTTTATGTTGATGACATGCTGCCGAGGGTGACCACGAGGGCATAGATCACTACCAGCATCTCCTAGAGAGGAAGTTTGAAATGAAGGATCAAGGTGTAATGACATATTTCTTACAACTTGAAGTTCTTAGCCTTAAAATGGGTATTTTATAAGCCAATAAGATATGAAAAGAATATCCTTTCACTTGCTAATCTCACTGCTAATAAGGCGATTCATTCCCCTTCAGGTCCTCTAAAGATGATGGAAATGCGTTAGAAAGCACTACTATTATGTTTATTTGACATAATATATCATTGACATCACCCAAAAAGTGCATGTTCTTAGCTTATCGTGCATGCACACATCACTTGTTCAAATGATTATTTGGTATTTTAAGGGCATGTTTAGTAGATCACGCTTCTCTCCCTCATCATCCCACATTGACTTTCAAAATGCCAATTGTGCTGGACATTATTTACTATTTTCGAAAGTGTAAGAAACAAACATACCATTTAAATCCAATATCAAATCAGGGTATCTGAGATGCCTTCTACCTGTAGTAAGGTTATTTGTTTACATGGGTTACAAAGATACAAATTTCTCATGACAACTCCAACTCCAATTTGATATTCCAAGTTCGGTCCAGGTTTCCTTTAATTCAGTTTTCGTGGAAGCACAAAAACAATTAGGGAAATAGTCACTTAACCAAAGAAATTTGCTCATGAACATATGCATCTTTCTTATAAATACCTGTCCGCAGACAAAGCCACTCTCAAATCTTGGTCAACAAACTGATGTTCATGAATAAAGAACATCAGTGTGAGAAAAGCATGTTGGTAGTCACAGGGAAATAGTGTCCTTTTACTTGTATTTCCATCTAATTCTGTAGTACATGGCTTTATGTACTCTATCTCTTTATCCATGGGCATCAGAGAGAGGAGTGCAGAACCCCAGAGAAGTGAAGCATAGTTCTTCACGAACTCGTGCATCTTCACATGTCCCACTTTCTCTGCACAAACTTCTTCTTTTTGTAGAAGTCGTAACACCCAAACCTCTATAGATATTCATTTTGAAAAAGAGAATCCAAAATTAGTGTTGTGTAGAAGGTTTACAATCATGTTATTTAGTATATGTATGAGGAAAAAAGATGGCATTTGGAAAAGGAATTTAAGGTTTCACAGTCTGGCTAGTTGGAAACAACACCTTAAGAGGCCTGAAACACGTGACTTCTCTCCTTATCCATTTTACGACTGCGGTGAAAACCCAAGGAACCTTCTTTGAAGTGCATCAAAAACTAGGTCCATTGAGGGTTCCCCCACAGTGATGGTCTGCAGAAGTGAATCATTGTATTTTTTGGATGCTACTATTGTTTTACAATGCAGCAGAGGAACCAGTTCTGGCAATGAAACAGTATCTCATACAAGCTTATAATTTTTGGATGCTACTATTGTTTTACGATGCAGCAGAGGAACAAGTTCTGGTAACGAAACAGCATCTCATACAAGCTTCGACTAACGTACTTCCATGTTAAGTAATCACAATGGAACCAACATAATTTTACATGCAATGCATTTCACACATGCATGTGTTCAAAAAGCACATATTCTTCAAAGTGAAGCATGTTCTTCAGCTTTCGCAACATGTAGAAGAAACAAGGATCCATTAAAATTTAAATAGAAAACAAGACAAGAATAAATGCATATACAATCAAGAATCAAAGTAAATCATTGAGCACTAGCAACAATTCACCAAGGATGACATGGATATGGTTGACAAACATGATTAATTTTCTGGAGGCAAGACAAATTATAATTAGTCTTATACAAAAGATTAAAAAAGAAAAACAAAAACAAAAACTGCATGGCATACATAAAAGGAAAAACCGCAAAATAAATGTTCCATGTTTGATATCAATGACATATATTTTCACTCTGTTCATATTAAAGAAAGCCAAAAGGTTCCATGCTCCCGTGGGAGCATATTCTGCACTTATTTCATCAGGTAAAACCCACTATAGGAGTATTTTTAGGACCCCAAATTTTGGGGATGTAAAGTCTTCAACCTATAGACTAACCTCAAGAGAAAAAAAAAAAGAAATTTCACTATATGCTTGAAAATAAAATGCATCAAGATTGAATAGAGACCATCCAATTGTTTTAGGGTGGGGTCCAAGTGTTTAGAGAACTCAAAATCCACAGTTTTTATTTTGAAATAAATCAAATAAGGATACTTACTGTTTCCCAAATTTTGAGATCAAAAAATCCTCCTAAGTTTTCCTGGAGGAGGAGTAAATGCAGAGTATGCTCTCGCAGGAGCATAGTACATGCGCTCTTAAAGTATTGCCAACAAGAAGTTGTAAACGTTACCAAGGTAGAGAGCCAAGGTTTTCAAAGCACCACATAAAACAAAGTCACAAGTGAAACAAAATAAATAATGAACCAGAAGTAGTAGTCCAAATTTGGCTCTCAATTACATTCACAAACCCAAGCATATTGGCCATTGCTAAGCTTGGACGAAGAACTCCAATCAACTCTTCTGGCCTACTAGCTCAGTTGGTAAAAGGAAAAAGGACTTGGTGCTATACTCAGGGATCACTCAGGATCCACTATTGCGTCCATTTCTAAATTCATAGGTTATTCCGACTCTATGGAGGCAGAGGAAACCACGCGACATGAGGATGTCAAGCTCCTTCCTCCCTTCACATTCGGTCCCTCACCATTGAGGAGACTCCAAGAACGTTATTTCTTGGGCTTCCAAATATTCTCCCCCACACTGGGTCCTAGCTCATATTTTTTATGAGATTAACCACCTTTGCAGGGATACGCAGGTCTTATGGATGCATATTTGGAGGGAAGGAAACCAAGCGGCTGACACACTCGCTAAGGAGGAAGCGGCACAAGATGGCTCTTAGGACTGTTTTTTGGGATTGGCCTCTTCCCGTGATTGTGTGTTTCAATTCATGTTCATAACAATATTACAAGATGATTCGCCTGCCTTTTTATCCTTCACCCTTGTTATTTATAAGTCCTGCACTGAGTTTGTTTTGAAGTGTTTTATGCCCACAAAATGGAGGCAGAATTGCTTGGAAGGCAGCACATGGAAACAAAGAGCGAGCAGCCATCAGGAATTGGCCCTTGTCCTGGTTGGTCAATGTGGCAGAGCCACCATGTAACATCAATGATTCCATTCCTACCTGTTAACATGTCAAAAAAAAAAACACCACAAAGAGCGATCGTCATATGTCCATTTGGATCATTCCAGAAACTTCCCAAGTGCTGCAGAGGACTAGCAAGTCAGTGTCACATGGACTTTGAGATTTTTATGTCATTGTGAACTATGAACAATTGCAAATCAAAATGATGCCCATCATCAGAAACACAGTCCATCCCCATGATCCAACTTTGGAATCTAAAGTGGATGCACTCATTGCTAACCGTGTAGCCATGCAAAAGATGCATGAGTATCCTTTCATCATCGATCATCATCAATGGAGAAACCAGCCATCCACTGCCTATCATCGTCAATGGGCATCCAAGACAAACTGCTGTTACTATGACAGACAAAAGTGGACTTGAGCAGAAAAGCCACTCATCTCTACAGTCCACTAGTGATGACAGAAAGTGGATGGTCGGTCTGTGTACACCATTATTATACACATGCGCATGTACTTTTTTTAAACTGTTTATCTTGTGTTGAAGAGGAAGTATCCATTGTACAAGAAATGGGTAAACCCACAAGTTGGGTGCTCTGTATAAAATTTTGCTACAAAGGAGAGTCCAAAAAATGCTTTACAGTAGCTCTTTTAGGTACAAAAAAATGGTGATCCAGGAACTTAATGCGGTTCTACAAGAGCCCCATCTTGGTGCTGCGATACTGCTGCTTTAGGCAGGGCATCTGCTGCTGAGTTTGCCTCGCACCACGTATGTCACCATGAAACAATAATAGGCCTACAAATATGGAAGATCTTGTCGAAGATGTGAGACAACCTCCAAGGGCAAGGGGAAAAGCGAGAGGACCAGGAGATGACATTTTTTGCATCCCCTTCTATGATTAGAGTCGGGCCCCGACTGAGGTTGAAAATGCATAGCCCTTCGAGGAGCACGATGGCATCTGCCATGATGGAGTTGGTGTGGCTGATGGATCTGGAGAAGGATGTCAGCATGACACCGAGATGGTCTCTAAAGATGCCACCAATCCCAGCTGGGTCTGGGTTCCTGAGTGAGCAACCATCAAAATTCAGCTTGACCAGGTTCGGGGTACACGAGCAGGACTTAAAATGAGCAAAGTTTGCCAATTAAGAAGAAAATCAGCACAGGTAAGATGTCGGAAAAGGTTGTTGTTATTGGCCCAAAAGATAATCAACGATCTTATCCAGGCCTTAAGAGCTTCAATGATGGTCCTCTCTCCCTTAACGGTTCTGCTTTTGCACTCCATCCAAAGAAACCATAGAGTGGCTGCAATGGAGGCACACCACAGGAGGGAACCTGATTTCAACCATGGGACAGGGTAGAGATATTGGGTAAAGGTGGGGAACAGATCGCAGGGTGACCCATGAACAGTTAATAGTTGGAGTATATCTCCCCAGAGTGTCAAGGCCACTTCACGGTGGATGAAGTGGTGGGCATTGGTCTCCGCATCTGCCGTTCACATTACACATCTGCTGGCGATGGGGACTCCCCTCCTTGGATCTGATCTACAGTGAGAGATCTTTCAGATAGGGCAATCCGGGAGAAGACCTGAATTTTGGGGGGAATGAAGAAGAAACAAGCCTTACTAACGATAGGGGGAGAGCGGGATGTGGGAGAGGAGGGGGGATGGAGTATGTTGTAGAAAGAGGAAACTGAGAAGTGACCCGAAGTGGAGGGGGACCAGATTAGTTGAACCCCTCCAAATGCAGAGAGAAAGATAAGAGAAGAATAGAAATGGATGAAGGAATTCTTCAACCTCATGGTTGTTTACTGGCCTGCAGAAGTTTGGATTCCAGAAGTGAGAAGAACCCTGGGGTACAAAGAGGTCAGAAACATGGATTCCGTTTTGAGAGTCACTTGGAAAAGAAGAGGCAATAGGTCCTTTAGGGGAGAACTGCCCAGCCAAATATCGTGCCAAAACTTGACCCTGTTGGCCAACCGGGGGTGGAAGTAAATGTGAGCCTTAAAAAGATCAAGGGAGCGGAAGGATAGATTTCCAGACCCCAGAGGATCTACAGGTGATTGTGGGATCAGATAGCGTATGAGGTTAGTGACAAAGGTACTCGTGTTGGAGCACCTCAATCCATAGTTGGCTATCCTAGATGAGAAAGCGCCACCACCATTTACCTAAAAGGGCCAAATTATTGGTTCTCAGGTTGCAAATTCCTAAGCCTCTGGGTGCCTTGGTTGGCACACTATTTCCCAAGAGATGAGGTGAAATTTTTGTTGCTCGTCCAGACCAGACCACAAGTAATTCTTCATGAGCTGCTCTAGACAATTTGCTACAGAGGCAGGCATATGGAAGAGGGACATCTGATAAATTGGGATATTAGAGAGGGTGGCCTTGATGAGCGTGACTCTACCTGCCGATGATAGGAATCTGCCTTTCCAACCAGCCAGTTCCCTTTCAAACTTGTCCAACAATGTAACTCTATTGTTGCTTTCTAAGGAGTCCAGTACTGAGGGGTAGGCCAAGGTAGGTGGGCTATTCACTAGGGCATCAACGGATACACCAATCATCTTGGATTTTGCCATATTGACCCTTAAACCAGTGGCCAACTCAAAGCACTTGAGAAGAAGTAAGAGGGAGTCCACCTGTTGAGTGGTGGCCCAGCAGAAGAGAAAGGTGTCGTCAGCATACTGGAGTGGGAGATGACCTGGCCTTGACTCCCAATTTTTGACCTTTCCAGCAGTCCATGTTGGTGAATCCTTTCAATGGACCTGCTGAAAACCTCTGCCAACACGGAGAATAGGAAAGGAGATAGGGGATCCCCTTGTCGAAGACCTCTAGAAGAAGGGAAAAGACCTCTCGGGGCGCCGTTGATTAGGATAGAGAAAAAGGGTTAGGAGATGCAACCTTTTAATCCAAGTCCTCCAAAGTCTACCGAAACCCATTCTAAGCATCCAGGAGATTCCAGTCCACATGATCGTAAGCCTTCTCCCAATCAATTTTGATAACAATTTCAAGGATTCTGCAAGGTGTCTAGAGTGTATACATTCATTAGCCGCTAGGGCTCCATCTAGGATCTGCCTATCCTTGACAAAGGCTCCTTGTTGGGGGGAGATGACCCAGTCTAGGACCTCTCTTAAGCGAGAGGCAAGAACCTTGGATAGAATTTTATAAGAGCTATAAATGACGCTAATGGGTATGAAGTCCTTAAGTTCCTCCATGCCCTCTACCTTAGGTACCAATGCAACGAAAATGGCATTCAAGTATGGATAATGCCTCTAGAATGACATTCCTTGAAGAAGGATAGGATATCAGGATGGATGTCCAGAAGGTTTTGAAGAGTGCTATCGGGAAGCCTTATGGGCCAGGGGCTTGGTCCTGACCTAGGTCGTTGATGAATTTGAAGATCTCGTCTTCGGTGAAAGACCGTTGAAGCCATGCCACTTTGTCAGGTTGAATGGACCTGAAGGAGACATCTGCCATCCTTGGTGTAGGGGCCGAGGGAATAGAGAAAAGGTTGCCAAAAAATTCAATGATCACCACTTCCACATGAGAAGGTTGTCGTAAATGGAGTCTCCCACTTTAATCTGGGTGATCGTGTTGTCCCGCCTATGGCAATTGGTGGTTTTGTAGAAGAAGGCAGTGTTAAGATCATCATGCTTCAACCCTTTAATTCTTAAACATTGATACCAGAAGATTTCCTCCTCACAGAGAGCAGCTGGTATCCGATTTGGGGTTGGGTTCTAAGGTTCCTCTTCTCACGGGATAGAGGCTGGTATTCTTCGACCAAGTCCATACTGGGGAGAGCTTGGAGTTGCGCTTCTTTGGGACTCTGAAAATTCCATGGGATATGTCTACTCCAGGACAACCAACATAAAACTTTGCCAAAACTTTCTATAAATCTTGAATTGATGTTATCTGATGATGAAGATGATGCTTATGTCTACTCCACGACATGCCTAACAGATCAAGATGGCAGTCCAAGCTTATCATGGCGTTTTCACCCATCATTGAAGATCTCTTACATGTACACACATAAAATTCAGAGTTTTGATGAAATCCAGTGCAACAAGAGCTTGATTGACCACACGCAAATAATGCATCGATTCACACACCTTAAGCCAGATAAAAGATGTATATTACAACACAAAAAACAGAGTGAGAGTGTCATTGAATTGGCTTGTCACTGCAACTTGAAATTAGAACTGCACTGTTACAAGCATTTATAGATCTCTCTGCTATATGAAGCATGGATGCACCAAAGGGCACGCCATTGGGACATCAAAGGAAAATTTGAAGCCCTGTAAGATCTCATCTTTTCATTGTGATATGCTCAGATATAGAATGCGAAGAACTTACAAGTTCAAAACTGAAAAAGAAAAAGTGCATCTTATTCACAGATCAAATCACAGTCTAACAGGGTAGAAAAGCGTAATTTGGTTCTGCATTCTTCATTCATTTATAAGACTCAGGCATCTGCTGAAAATAAATATATCTTGACATAACACGACCCACAACCAGTAGGACTCATCCTTGTGCTTGAGGGAGATGGAATATCTTCCCTTCATAACCATGACCTGTGGTCTAGTCTTTATGTCAAGGAAGTTCTTTTTTCTTTGCCTAAGTGCAGTTATAAAGGAAAAAACTAGTCATGCCATTGCCAATAATTGATGCTACATCTATGAAGTGTTTGTTAAATATAAAGCAGAAATGCAACAACAGATATAAAGAACATGATGCCAACAGCAAGACCAAAAGATTTAAGTACCTACTCACTATGGTCTCCTATTGAGAAAACTGAGTAGTAATCCAAGAAGAGAAATTGCTTGACTTTAGAAAGAAATTGCAAGAAATCCATAATCAGGTTAAATAATGGACCCTGGACCAGAGTGGCCGACAACCCACATGAAAGCCAAGCTCCATGTGCGCACATGTGCACACACACACAAAAATATTGACCTTACACAGAATTTTGTTCATCAATCACAATTTTCGTTTTGCATTGTGCTCACTTGTTTGTGCATTGGGTGATCATGTGTATATAACAAATAAAAC